CAGGCACAAATTTCTTGAAATACCTCACGGAGAAAGAAAAAATCGAAAAGGTAATTTGTGACCACCTCTGGGAGGTGGTCTCAAAAAGGGTCCTCCCGCAGCCCTGCAGGAAGCTGACAAAAGGGTCACCAAAAAGTACATTTAGGTAGTGCCGTAGTGGGCCAGACCCTGTCCAATGTGACCCGAAAAGTGCCTCAATTTTTGGGATTTAAGGTGATCGGGTCCCCGTGTGAGTATGCCCTCAGTAGATTCGTTTTGTTTTGTTTTTGTCTCTGAGAAGGGGCAATGCAATCCCACAGCCAGCGTGCCTCATCCCGTGCACAAAAGACAAAAAATATGGTGGTGTATCTTCCAAACTTCTAGGGGAAGATTCATTCTAGCCGTTTGGTGGGTAGTGGAGCGAGGCTCGTTGATCTCACAGTTATACTGTTAATAAAAAGTGCCCACCGGTTAACACGGAGATCGCGGCTGACCTCGCGCACCGGCCAGATACATCCCAAATCCTTGGCGCGCAGGGCCCACACGGCGAATGGCTGGGAAAGTCGCGATTTAAGGGGAAGTAGAGTTAGTAGGGGAAGAGTTATGAATCAAAAGAGTACAGGGTTGACTTACAGTTAATTCTTCCAATGGGAGTGATCAATGCTGTCAGGGGTCCCGGGCTGCAAAGCGAAAAGTTAACATGTCAAGAGTGGGTATGTCGTGTATTCATCCAGCTGAATAGGAACCGAACTGATGCTCCCGAGATGGATATGGAGTCAGGCCCATAAGGGACTGTTTATGGGCCTGTTTTTTTCCCCCCCGAATGATGGGCTATGCACCATGGAAAGGCCTTCGAGGCATATAGGGCTGTGCCACACCAGGCCGTGGACTTATTTTTTTACTACAGAACACTAATTCATTTATCAATCTTTTTTTTTTCACAATTGCCTTTTTTTCTTGAATCGTTTGTTTCTTCGGTAGAGGTTCTTAACTCCAGTGATGTAAGCCATAATATTGTGGAGCTACCGTCTTCACCTGAATAGAACGCCCGGTCATTATCACTGCATCTGGACTGAACAATACCCCAAGTACAGCTATAATGACCGGGCATTATATTTGGGTGAAGACGGTAGCCACAGGATCCGGAAAGCAGATGAAGAGAAGTCTGCAGTGGTCTTTGCTGGCAGCATCTGCAGCATGTCTGTCTGGGGTCTCATTGGAGGGTCTGTCTGGGGTCTCATAGGACTGGCTTGAGAGGGTCCCACCCTTCCCCTGAATATATGTCTAGGGGATTCATATCTTGTTTACAAAACGCCCAGGGGACGAACATGATCATCCCGGCGATCTCATTCAAATTAACAAATATTTTAATTGCAAGAAATTGCAGAAATTCTGAAATTGACCATTAAATTTTGAGTTTTTTTTTTGGGGGGGGTGCACAATGTCATTTGTACTACACATGAGCAGTGGACGCTGGGCCCGGTTCCCAGCACGTGTTGCTTCCCACGAATAGACTGGCACATTGTTCCATTAAAAAAAAAAAAAAAAAAAAAA